CAATATATACCACATCTTTATCCATTCATCTATTGATGGACACTTGGGTTGCTTCCATATCTTGGCTATTGTGATTAATGCTGTAATAAACATAGGGGTGCATATATCTTTTCAAATTAGTGTTTTCATTTTCTATTGGTAAATACCCCATAGTGGAATTACTGGATCATATATTTCTATTTTTACTTTTTTGAGGAATGAATAAGTCATGGAATAAAAGACACAGCATAGGGAATATAGTCAATAATACTGTAATAGTGTTGTATGGTGACAGATGGTAGCTACATGTATGGTGAGCATAGCGTAACATATAGAGATGTTGAATTACTATGTTGTACACCCAAAATAATGTAATGAACATTACGTGTCAACTATACTCAAATAAAAAAATGCATAGATGAAGAATAAGGGGAGTTCCCATTCTTTATAGATCCAGAACATATTATTAAGCCATTATAATCAAATGAGTGGTAGCCCATGGGAATAAACAAGTAGACCAGTGGAATGAAATAAAGAATCCAGAAATAGATCCAGGCATAAATGAAAATTCAAATCTGACAAAAGTAGACTTTCCACTGAATGGGATAACACAAGCACAAATGATTTGGCAAAAGTGGCTTCCAAATGAAAAAAAAATAAGTAAAATTTTGTCCATTTCACATTACTGCCAAAAACACACTCCAAATGGATTCGCACTTAAATATATGAATTAAACAATAAATATCTTAGAAAAATCTAGGAAGCTATATATACAACTTGAAGTTAGAGAGATCTTAACCAAGACTAGAAACCCAGAAGTCATTTAAAAAGATATAGAAAGGATTGACAACATTAAAAAAAAATTGAAAGATGAAATGTCAGCAAAGTCAAGAGATAAATGGTATTTTTTGGGGAAAAAAAAGTTTGCAAAACAGAAGACAGTCAAAGGATTAAAATTTATACAACATGATGTTAAGAATTCTATGAGAAAAGTTACAAACCAATGGGAAATTTGTCAAATAGGAAGAGGCAATTCAGAGAAGAGCATATCTAAGTGAACACCAAACATGAAAAGATGGTTCGCTTCACTAGTAGTTCAGAAAGTACAAATTAAATTGATAATGAGATCTAATGCTTAGACTGGAAAAAATTTTAAAGCTGGAATACCTAGTGTTCACAATAATAGTAAAAGAAGGTCAAATTGTGAGTTTGCAGGTTTGGGGGAAAAAGCAACTTGGCAATATATATATAAAATGAAAAATATACTTTGATGTATTTTATTATACATTTTGTTATATGTATATTATACAAAATAAATGCATATTTATTATTTTGTGTATTTAAAAAGACACAAAAATAACTCTTTGACCAAGCAGTCTTAATCCTGGGAGTCTATCCTACAGAGATAGAAGCAGCAAACGTAAGAATATATATGTTCAAAGATGGGTGCTTAGCTTTGTTAATGGTGGCAAAATCTAGAAAATGAAGTCAATTCTTAAAACAAAGCAAGAAACAAAATTCTGTACAAAAATTAGGACATTTATATCTATCTCTATGTGATGATATTTGTGTATATTCATATGTATGCAAATTTGTACATATGTGTATACATATTTATATGAACACAGATAAAAGTAAAAACAAAAAGGAACATATACACAATATCAATATGTATTATCTTGGATGGGATAGGTCGTGTTTGAGGAAAGGGGGAAGTGAAAAGGAGGAGACAAAAGCCAAAACAATGTATTTAAAGTTTTTCATTTAGAATGCCTCAATCTATTTGATACGATCCAATTTAGCTAAAATTAGATGTGTACAAAGAGTCATTTTTATCCCTCAGAGTCTACAAAACAAAACAAAAGCCTCTCCTATTTCAGGTATATAGAACTTTTTTATAGCTACTCTTTGTGTCACCTTGCTTAAATGAATTTCACTTGGACAGATATCTAAGAAAGATCCTTCAAAAGTAGATAAGACATGTCTTGAACAGAAAAGAAAGGAGAGGCAACTCATCTATGATTATAGCAAGACTTTGTTCAGATGCTAATATTGGTGGCAGAATTTTATTATAGGAATAATGCCCTATTTACTGTTTTTCTTGAGTCATGTTTTAAAAATGATGAATTCTGACTTTTAGCAAAATCAGTGAAACTTTTAGACTGATGGAAGATTAATGAAATATCAGAATCAAATGAGGTTGGATTCTGGTCAGTGTTGCAGAAGCGTCTCAGTCTTTAAAATAATCAGCCCAGGGGCACCTGGGTCAGTCAGTCAGTTGAGCGTCTGACTCTTGGTTTCAGCTCAGGTCATGATCTCAGGGTTGTGGGACTAAGCCCTATACCTGGCTCATGCTCAGTGGGGAGTCTGGTTCCCCTCTCCTTATCCCTCTGCCTCACCTCTCCCTCTCTCTTTAAAATAAATAAGTCTTTAAAAAAAATAAAATCATCAGCCTAAGTTCTGCTAACACTTAAAAAACTATACAATTTTGAACTACAATGTATAACTTTGATGCCTAATTTTATTTTGAACCCTGATCCTGACTCATGAAATTCTGTTGCATAACATGGAAAGAATTGACAAAGTGCCCCTAAAAGCTGCCTGGTTTTCCAAAACTTGTTTCTTCCTTTTTAAACAGATATTCCCAAGGTAATAATTTTTGTAAATTGTGAATCCCATGGGTAAGACCATAATCTTGGTCACCTCAACAGTGAACTTAAGTAGTACTTAAAAGCCAGTCATCAAGATATTATTTTCTCATAAAGAAAGAGAAGAAAATAAATATAAGTTTCTAACACTGGGAATTATCTTCAGTGGACTTCCCCAAAGGAAATGCCACCGATATCCAGAAAAATAAATTTCCAAAGGAAATTTCTGAAAGTTTCTTCTGACTGATTAACCTGTAACTCTGAGCAAAGTAGTAGAATTGTGGAATGTAAGAAAGAAAGGTCCCTGACGTTGTTTAATTCAGTACACCTCTTTAACAATGCCAATACTGAGATCAAGAGAAGCTGAGAGGTTGCTAAACCAGGGACTGAGCAGCACCTAGAGCAAGGACTCAATTCCCATGGAAAGGATTTTTAGATGATACCATGTTCCTTTCTTTGAAAAATATCAGTAAAATATTGTTCAACTGAAAGTATTCCAGAGAATTATTTTTCTTGTTCACTTTGTTTCAGCCAGCACAAATGTGTATAATTGTTCAGAAGTTGGGAGCATCTTATGTTCTTGTTTTTACTTTAGCATCTTCTAAAATGTCCATCTGTAAAAGAGAATAATGTTAAAGTTTTATCATACACGATTTGCAAAAATCTTGGATGAAAATCTTTAAAAACTAGAGTAAATTTCAAGGGTGGAGGGGAATTTCTTATAAGACACTAACTCTAGAAGTCACAGCACAAAACATAAAAATTTTGGACAACGTAAAAAACATATGAGTAAAGATCAAAGTCAATATTTAAATAATAAGTTTGGCAATTTGTTATCCTATCAATTGTTGATATTATATCTGGTCCAATCAGGACCTGATACGGTTTACATCTCTGGCAAGATGTTTCCCTTTTTGGGCTTCCTTTCAGCAGGGAGGGAGCTAGAAACCCCAGGCTGGTCCAGTGCAGTCACTGGCAGCCTCACAGTCTATTTACCCCAGGATGTAAAAATATGCATTGACTCCTAAGTCTGTTTATCTCATGATGACATACAAATGAGTGTCATGAAATGAAAAGCACTGGGAATTCCTAAGTTTTAATATAGAAAGAACTCTTGTGAACCATCATGAAAGGCCAAACAGCCCAATAGGAAAATGGATAGGAAAGACAGTTCACAGAATTGCATATCCAAATTGCTAATGTAAAAAGACTCTGCATTTCTTTAGTAACCATGAAGATACAAATTGAAGTAAAAGCTAGATATCTCTTTATATCTATAAGGATAGCAAAAATTAAAAAGTACAGTGAAATCTACTGGTGCTAGGGACGCTCAACTGACTGACTGACCCAGGTGCCCCTGGGCTGATTATTTTAAAGACTGAGATGCTTCTGCAACACTGACCAGAATCCAACCTCATTTGATTCTGATAATATTTCATTCACTGCTGGTGGTTAGGTAAAAAATTTCAGCCCTTTTGGAAAAAGGATCTGGCGATGTCTGTTAAGCTTTAAAGTATACATATTTTTATATTAAAATATACATATATATTTATGTATTAAAGTATATATATATAAATATAAAGTATATATATAAATGTATATATATAAATGTATATATATAAATGTATATATATACACATTTAGAGAGGGAGGGGTTGGAGAGGCAGAGGGAAAGGGAAAGGGAAAGAATACTAAGAGGCTCCATGCTAAGATTGAGGATGTGGGGCTCAATCTCATAATGCTGAGATGACCTGAGCTTAAATCAAGAGTCACTTAACCTACTGAGCCACTCAGGCGCCCCTAAATTATACATATTTTTGACATAATAATTCCACCCTTGGAAATACATTCCATAAAATAGAATCACCTGCATTGATATTTACACCCACACAATACACATTCAAGGATGTTTATTGCATTATTATGTATTATTTTTCATAGTAGTAAAAATCAGGAACCAATATAAATAAGTAAACAAATATTAATAGATAAATGTTATATTCAGTGTAATGATAACCTGAAATATAGTAAGTCTTTTTGTAAGAGATAAATAACTAAGAAAAGACTCTTCTAGAATGAGGAATCAGAGCTTTTATAAGTTGCTAGCTATAAATTACGATAATATTGATTTTCTTGTGTCTAATAATATTCATTTTTTGTATTTATATATTTATATTTATATAAATTATATATACTATTTATATATAATGTATATTTATATAAATATATACTTATATTTATATATTTTTTGTATTTCAGATGTAATATTTAATTTTGAGTCATAACATAGTCATCTAGATAATTAGATTTTGGGAGATGGCATAATCTGTCTTCTTTTTCATCTAAAGATAGTGTATTTTTATCTTTATCCAGGTCACCTGGCTGAAGCTAGAACCATGATGGACCTATCTCGGGAGCCTTGGCCCTGAAGGGAAAGCAACTGCTGTGGAAGATGCCACTCAAGACAGAGAGAGGTGGGGATGAAGCCTTAATCACTCCCTCCAGTCTCCTTTTGATGTCTCTCACATGCTAACCCCAGCTGGAAACACAATCTAAAGGAATCCCTCCCTTCAATATAAAGCAGACCAGAGTAAGGGCAAACAAGATCTGAGGGAAGGTTGGTCCAGCACTGGCATAACTTTCCTTTGGATAAGATGATATATTTGACAGTTTTTCTCATCTCTTCTCTCATCATCTCCAAGATTTTTTCAGATGATCTCTAGATCTAAATTTGTATTTTATAAACTTTCTTTTCTTTATAGAATTTTTTTGGGAAAATTTTGTTTTGTTACTATTCTAAGAGGTATCTTAAACCTATGTGAAGTTTCATTAGTTTTATTACTCACCACAATTTTTCATACCACTTCTTTGCCATTCTCAAGCACTCTTATTACAGTTCTTTTTTTTTTTTTTTTCTTTTCTCACTTATAAGTCATCCTTTAGGTACGTGGCACATTCTTAAAACATTGCTCTATTCTTTCGTAGCATTTTGTCTTTAATGTAAGGAAGAGAATTCCAATGACAAATAGATTCTTTGCTTTTAAGACCTACTTTTTCTGTTTGGAAGTGTGTAGATTTTATTTTTATTTTTTTATTTTTTAAAAGATTTTATTTATTTATTTGACAGAAAGAGAGAGCACAAGCAGGGGGAGTGGCAGGCAGAGGGAGAGGGAGAAGCAGGCTCCCCGCCGAGCAGGGAGCCCGATGCGGGGCTCGATCCCAGGACCCTGGGATCATGACCCGAGCGGAAGGCAGATGCTTAATGACTGAGCCACCCAGGTGTCCCAAGATTTTATTTTTAAAGATGGTATTGAAGGGGCGCCTGGGTGGCTCAGTCGTTAAGCGTCTGCCTTCCGCTCGGGTCATGATCCCAGGGTCCTGGGATCGAGCCCCGCATCAGGCTCCCTGCTCGGCAGGAAGCCTGCTTCTCCCTCTGCCACTCCCCCTGCTTGTGTTCCCTCTCTCGCTGTCAAATAAATAAAAAATCTTTAAAAAAAATATGGTATTGAAATTAAAAACAAACAAAGGAAAACTTTAGCTTGTCTCTTGAAGAACTTTTTTGATTTGAGGCTTCAATTTTGTCTTTGGTTTAGGGATTTTTTTCTTTTTTGATTATTGCTTCTTCTTCATCTTGATTCCTTTTATGACTATATTAAATATCCTATTTATTCACATATTCTTAACCACAGATGAATTAACAACTACGTTAATCAGGACTTGCCTGAAATATTTTTAACAGAAAGTCCCTGAAATTGTTGGCATGTATATGGCTCCATTTTGCTTGTTTCTAGGATTTATGTAGACTTCTAGATAATTTTGTGTTTGGCATTTCAGTGGATACTTGGAAAAGGAAGGAGTTAAACATCAGCACTCAAATTACCATTACAAACAAGAAGTATGTCTTAAAAAAATGTAAGCATTAATCAACATACCACTTTCTCCAAATATTACTGGAGCACATGGCTATTTGAATAAATGAGAAACTACCCTTTTACCTCAAGGAATTTCCAGGTTGAAGAAGAGTGGGGAAAAGACCTTTCAAAAATTGAGGGAACTGAGAATTCTGATTCATCTCTAATGCTCTTTGATATCACAGGTTTTGCAGGCTATATTATTGATGTGAACCATCCTAATCCATCTACTCATCCTAATTGCAGTGTCCCATTGGTGTGATGTCAGGTTGAAAGAACACGACACGGTGGAATAGCTTTGGAGACTGACAGGTTTCTGACTCTTTAACCAAGCATAACCAAGCACTCTGATTCCCAGTTTCCTCATATCTGGAATGATAATAATCCTACTTATGTACATTATTAGTTTATTTAAGACACTTTTATTTAGGGGCTACAATGTGCTGTAGATCATGTATTAAGATTGTGGGTTTGTTAAGATGAATGATATCCAGTGTCTACCTTCAAGGATTATATAGCTAAAAAGACTGTGAGGATTATGGGCAACTAATGTCTTCATTTATTTAATAAATATTTGTAGAGAGCATAATTGTTACTAGGAACTCCTGTAGGCACTGAGATACTGAGATGAATATTGAGATGAACAAAACAATCTTTTAAGCCAATGGTGATGACATTTTAGTAGAGGCCAAAGATAGATGATTAAAAGTTATAATATCAAAAATAATGTCACGTAGATAAATTCTGTGAAGACAAATCAAGATTGGGAATAAAGAATATATGAGTTTGAAGAGTAGGAGAGGGAGCTACTTTAGGTAGGATAGTCTGGGTGGCCTTTCTGAGGAAATGTCTTAGAGAAGGAGGAACAGATTTGGAGTGTTTGAGAAACAGGAACAGGGCAAGAATGGCCACACTTTGGTGATTTAGGAGGAGAGTGGCAGAACTGAGAATGGAGTAAGATCTAGGCCTTGTTGTCATGGTAGGGAATGCAGATTTTATTCTAAGTGTTATAATAGGAAATCATTGAAGAATTTACATGGAGAAGGAGATGATTTGATTTGTGCTTTGCAAAGGTAAGTCTTGCTTTTGACTGGGGATAGCTTTTATTTTTTTATTTTTTATTATTTTATTTTTTTAAAGATTTTATTTATTTATTTGACAGAGAGAGACACAGCGAGAGAGGGAACACAAGCAGGGGGAGTGGGAGAGGGAGAAGCAGGCTTCCTGCTGAGCAGGGAGCCCGATGTGGGGCTCGAACCCAGGACCCTGGGATCATGACCTGAGCCAAAGTCAGATGCTTAACAACTGAGCCACCCAGGTGCCCCCTGGGGATAGCTTTTAGAGAGGCTGAAGTAGAAGCAAGAGAAGGGAGCAGTTGGGTGGGGGTGAGGAAGAGGCTAACAATGGGGTGCAAGAGACAAAGCTGTGACTTTGACTGGGAGGTAGTGATGGAGTGAATGAAACATCATCAGATAATATGTTATTTGGTGGGGGCAGGTTTTTAATAAATAACTCTATTTTTATCATCAAGTCTCTATTAAGCAGCAAAAAGTAGCCATATGTTCATGAGTCGAGAAGGATAAAAACTAAAAACAACTTTTCTCCTAAATCTTGTAAGATAAAATTAGATGGTTTTAAAAATAGTTATGTAAGAGTCTTCATGAAGAGACCATAGAAGAACTTCTATTAAAAAAAAAAAAAAAAAAAAAACCCAAACCCAATAGAAAATACAGAATAGGAACTAAAAGGAAGAATGTATCACTAATAAACATGAAAATATACTCAACTCTATTGTGTAATCAGGAAAATTCAAATTAAAATACAAGGAGATAATATCACACTCCCCTTTTTGGCAGAAATTACACACTAACAGGTATTGACAAAGATATGGAGAAATCAAAACATTTATACAAACTGCTGGTAAAAGTTTATATTGATATAAACATGTTGGAATGCAACATTGCAATATATAATAAATTTGAAATTGATGTTTCCCTAGGACTCAGCAATTCTCCTCCTAGCTATATACTCTAGAGCAGGTGTTCTCAAAGTTCCTTCTTGGACGTGTAGCATCCATGTCACCTCGGAACTTCTTAGAAATGCACAATCTTGGGCTGTATGATGGTTAATTTTGTATATCAACCTAATTGGGCTAAGGGGTGCCCAGATAGTTGGTAAAACATTATTTGTGAGGGTGTTTCTGGAAGAGATTAGCATTTGAGTCAGTAGACTAAAAAAATCTCCCTTACCAATGTGGGTGTGCATCATTCAATCCCTGGAGGGCCTGAATAGAACAAAAAGGGGAGGAAAGGCAAATTTCCTCTCTCTTCTTGAGCTTGGACATCTATCTTCTCCTGCTGTCAGATATCAGATATTGGAACCTCTGATTATGGGGTCTTCAGACTCTGGGACTTACCCTAGTTTGCCCCCTTCTTCCCTCTCAGGCCTTCCACCTTGGACTGCATTATCCTGGTTCTCCAGCTTATAGACAGCAGATCATAGGACTTCTCCTCCTCCATCACTGTGTGAGCCAATTCCTATATCTTTTCTTATATATATTTATGCCTATATATTTTTTGTTGGTGCTGTTAATCTGGAAAACCTTAATACAAGCCTATCCCTAACCTCTGAATTAGAAACACTGAGGTTGAAGCCCAATCTCATGTTTTAATAAGCTCTCTAGGTGATTATAGAGCTAAAATGTGAGAACTACTGCACTAAAGAAAGATTTGCACATGTGTACTGGAAATATGTACAAATAGGTTAAAGCATCTGTTTATAATCAAAATCCTGAAAATAATCCATGTGTCCATTAATAGTAGAAATTATAAATGATATATAATTCACTGTATAAGAGTGAAATGAATGAACTATAGCTAAATGCAATATACAGAAATCCCAGAAATATAATAGTCAAGAAACAAGGCAGAAATTGCAAGTGAAAGCATAACATTACACATATTATGAAAAACTAGAGTAACTTATTGAAAAAATAAATATATGTGGCAAAACAGGTAAAGTGATATGAAAGAAAAAAGAAAGTAATAACTAAAATTTCAGGGAAGTGGTTATTGGTTATTTATGACAGAGCAGAAGATCAGGGAGGACTCCTTAGGAGTTTCAAAATGATGGTAAAATTTCATTTCCTAAACTGGGTAAGATGTGGGTATTCTTTGTATATGGTGCTTTATACCCTACAATATTTTATACATGAGGGAGGAGCAAGATGGCGGAGGAGTAGGAGACCTAAATTTCCTCTGGTCCCAGGAATTCAGCAAGATAGGGATCAAACCATTCTGAACACCTACGAACTCAACAGGAGATCTAAGAAAAGAATAGCAGCAACTCTCTCAACAGAAAAGCGACCACTTTCTGGAAGGGTAGGACATGGGGAGAAGTGAATCTGAGGTGATACTGGGGAGGATAGATGGCGGGGGAGGGGGCCTCCGTCAGCTGCTACCCGCAAGTGATAGAGCCACAGAGCACAAAATTGGAACTTTTAGAAGCCTGCTCCACTGAGGGATGTCGCTCCAGTGGCTAAGCGGGGCGTGGAACCCTCGGGGTCACAGAAAGACTGGGGGGTGCCTGAGTGTGGCAGAGCTCCCAGGGATCGGAACAGGGAAGCCGGTTGCAGAGATGGAGCCGAGGCACGGGCTCTCAGCTCGGGGTTGCCATAAACCGGGATCCGCAGCACAGTTGGGCCACTGCGCTTCCAGCAGGGACCCAACAAGTGACAGATCCAGGGAGACTCCCCTTCCTCCTCCGGGAGGAGCGGCGCAGGAGTGCACCGCGGGGATCTGCTGGGTTTGGAGACTCCACTCGGGATCAGGTGCCAGAGATAGAAATGCTCAGTCACAGGCTGGGTGAGCACGGAGTGCCGCCTGAGACCGGGGAGACAGGAGTGACTGACTGCTTTTCTCTGGGGATGCACTGAGGAGCGGGGTCCTGAGTTCTCGGCTCCTCCGGGGTGGAGATTGGGAGGCCATCATTTTCACTCTTGTCCTCCAAAGCTGTACGGAAAGCTTTCAGGGAACAAATGCTCCCGAGAGCAAACCGAAGCAGATTACTTAGCCCGGACTGGCAAGGGCGGGGCAATTCCACCTCCGGCAAAGACTTTTGGGAACCATGGCAACAGGCCTGTCCCCCAGAAGATCAGCGAGAACAGCCAGCCAAGACCAAGTTTACCAATCAATGAGAACGGCAGAACTCCAGCACTAGGGGAATACTGCACATAGAATTAATGGCTTTTTCCCCATGATTCTTTAATCTTTCAAAGTTAATTTTTTTAATTTCCTTTTTTTCTTTTTCTTTTTTTTTTTGAATTTTTCTTTTGCCCTTTTTCAACCAACATCTTATCAATCCCTTTTTTAAAAAATCTTTTTTATTTTTCATTTTTAGAGTCATATTCTATCCCTTCATAGTAGTTAACCTTATTTTTGGTATATATATATATAAGTTGTTCTCTCTTTAAAATTTTGGGATACAGTTTCTTCTAACAGACCAATCCGTGCCCCAAATCTCTAGTGTATGGCTTTGTTCTAGTCTCCTGCCTGATCACATTCTCTCCCGTTTTTTTTTTTAATCCTCTTCTTTCTTTTTTCAACCAACTTCTTAACAATTCCTTTTATAAAATCTTTTATAATTTTCATCTTTACAGTCATATTCCATCCCTTCATCATACTTACCCTTATATTTGTACATATATAACTTTTTCTTTCTTTAAAATTTTGGGAGGCACTTTCTTCTAACAGACCAAAATATGCCCAAAATCTAGTGTGTGGCACTGATCTGTGCACCAGCCTGATCATATTTGATCATATTCTGTTTTTTTGTTTGTTTGTTTATCTTTTTCTTTTTCTTTTTTTCTTTTTTCTTCCTTTCTCTTTCTTTTCCCCTGGTTTCAGGTCCCTTCTGATTTGTTTAGTATATATTTTTCTGGGATTGTTGTTACCCTGTTAGCATTTTGTTTTCTCATTCATCTATTCTCCTCTGGACAAAATGAAAAGACAGAAAAAATCACATCAAAAAAAAAGAACAAGAGGCAGTACAGACTGCCAGGGACCTAATCAATACTGACATTAGTAAGATGTCAGAACTAGAGTTCAGAATGACAATTTTAAAGATACTAGCTGGGCTTGGAAAAAGATGGAAGATATTAGAGAAACCCTTTCTGGAGAAATAAAAGAACTAAAATCTAACCAAGTCGAAACCAAAAAGGCTATTAATGAGGTGCAATCAAAAATGGAGGCTCTAACTGCTAGGATAAATGAGGCAGAAGAGAGAATTAGTGATATAGAAGACCAAATGATGGAAAATAAAGAAGCTGAGAAAAAGAGAGAAAAACAACTACTGGATCACGAGGGCAGAATTTGAGAGATAAGTGATACCATAAAATGAAACAATATTAGAATAATTGGGATCCCAGAAGAAGAAGAAAGAGAGAGAGGGGCAGAAGGTATATTGGAGCAAATTATAGCAGAGAACTTCCCTAATTTGGGGAAGGAAACAGGCATCAAAATCCAGGAGGCACAGAGAACCCCCCTCAAAATCAATAAAAAAAAGTCAACACCCCAACCTCTAATAGTAAAACTTACGAGTCTCAGAGACAAAGAGAAAATCCTGAAAGCAGCTCGGGAGAAGAGATATGTAACCTACAACAGTAGAAACATTAGATTGGCAACAGACCTATCCACAGAGACCTGGCAGGCCAGAAAGGACTGGCATGATATATTCAGAGCACTAAACGAGAAAAATATGCAGCCAAGAATACTATATCCAGCTAGGCTGTCACTGAAAATAGAAGGAGAGATAAAAAGCTTCCAGGACAAACAAAAACTAAAGGGATTTGCAAACACTAAACCAGCCCTACAAGAAATATTGAAAGGGGTCCTCTAAGAAAAGAGAGAGCCTAAAAATAACGTAGACCAGAAAGGAACACAGACAATATACAGTAACAGTCACCTTACAGGCAATACAATGGCACTAAATTCCTATCTTTCAAGAGTTACCCTGAATGTAAATGGGCTAAATGCCCCAATCAAAAGACACAGGGTATCAGATTGGATAAAAAAACAGGACCCATCGATATGCTGTCTGCAAGAGGCTCATTTTTAGATCCAAAGACACCCCCAGGTTGAAACTTAGGGGGTGGAAAACCATTTACCATGCTAATGGACACCAAAAGAAAGCTGGGGTGGCAATCCTTATATCAGACAAATTAGATTTTAAACCAAAGACAATAATAAGAGATGAGGAAGGACATTATTTCCTACTGAAAGGGTCTGTCCAACAAGAAGATCTAACAATTGTAAATATCTATGCCCCTAATATGGGAGCAGCCAATTATATAAGGCAATTAATAACAAAAGCAAAGAAACACATCAACAGCAATACAATATTAGTGGGGGACTTTAACACCCCCCTCACTGAAATGGACAGATAGATCATCTAAGCAAAAGATCAACAAGGAAATAAAGACTTTAAATGACACACTGGACCAAATGGACTTCACAGACCTATTCAGAACATTCCATCCCAAAGCAATGGAATACACATTCTTCTCTAGTGCCCATGGAACATATTCCAGAATAGATCACATCCTAGGTCACAAATCAGGTCTCAACTGGTACCAAAAGATTGGGATTATTCCCTGCGTATTTTCAGAGCACAATGCTTTGAAACTAGAACTCAATCACAAGAGGAAAGTCAGAAAGAACGCAAATACATGGAGGCTAAAGAACATCCTACTAAAGAATGAATGGGTCAACCAGGAAATTAAATAAGAATTAAAAAAATTCATGGAAACCAATGAAAATGAAAACACAACTGTTCAAAATCTTTGGGATGCAGCAAAGGCAGTCCTAAGAGGAAAGTATATAGCAATACAAGCCTTTCTCAAGAAACAAGAAAGGTCTCAAGTACACAACCTAACCCTACACCTGAAGGAGCTGGAGAAAGAACAGCAAATAAAGCCTAAACCCAGCAGGAGAAGAGAAATAATAAAGATCAGAGCAGAGATCAATGAAATAGAAACCAAAAGAACAGTAGAACAGATCAACGAAACTAGGAGCTGGTTCTCTGAAAGAATTAACAAGATTGATAAACCCCTGGCCAGACTTATCAAAAAAAAAGAGAGAGAAATGACCCAAATAAATAAAATCATGAATGATAGAGAAGAGACCACAACCAACACCAAAGAAATACAAACAATTATAAGAACATATTATGAGCAACTATATGCCAGCCAATTAGATAATCTGGAAGAAATGGATGCATTCCTAGAGATCTATCAACTACCAAAACCGAACCAGGAAGAAATAGAAAACCCGAACAGACCTATAACCACGAAGGAAATTGAAGCAGTCATCAAAAATCTCCCAACAAACAAAAGCCCAGGACCAGATGGCTTCCCAGGGGAATTCTACCAAACATTTAAAGAAGAATTAACACCTATTCTTCTGAAACTGTTCCAAAAAATAGAAACGGAAGGAAAACTTCCAAACTCGTTTTATGAGGCCACCATT